AAGTCTGTGTAAATACTTACACATTTATAAGAGTCATTTTTATATGTGTTTACATATTCAATACATGTGGACAATAATGTCAGATAAGTATAATCGCTCGTGGATTTTTTTTTTCAGAATTCCCACCTCCTATAGCAGCCGATGACAAATATTTATCCCAATATCCAAACACGTGTCTTTATTTCGTTTTCGCCTATTCTTATTAGGATCAAAATATTTAAGTTCGTAGTAACAATTTCTTTGCTTAGTAGAAAATGTAGCTATTTAAAAATAAAAAAATCTTCCTTGTGTCTTTACTTTTCTGACGAACGTGATATACCTATGCATGATTCTCGCAATAAACAAGAAGAATCTAATGGGTTAATTAATTTACAATACAATACAGACAGGTATTTCCTATGTGTAAAGGATATACTAAACATGTTCAATGTATTGGTCCATGAAAAGTAATTTTAGTCATTTTCCACAGGAATTAATTTTAATAAATTAAAATGAGCAAAAAAAACAAAAAACAAAAATAAAACAAAGAACACGAACAGCCTGCAATCCCCTACCCGGGAAACATGGGTCTTTCATAAGTTAGCCCATGACACCACCCTCCCCCATAAATAGGTATTTTCTTTTTCTGAAAATGTTGCAGTGATGTAGCATCGATTTTGAAAGTGAGGGGGGGGGGGCAAAGATGAAAAAAAATAACTTACCTGAAAAAGTTTACAAGCAAAAAACAAAATGTTAATGAAAATATAAAAAAACATAAAAAGGGGGGGGGATTGCCCAAACTCGAAAGTCATGTTTCAAGGGGGAAGAGGTGTGTGTAGAGGCCAACTTCTTTAGTACCATTTTTTAATACTATATATACTATATGTACTTTTCCTTTAATTCACTGTACTGTAACAAAAAGTGGAAGGGGGGGGGGGGGGGGCAACCGGCCTATCAAATAACATTTCCAATAGTAAAATTTATGTTTGGAAAAAATCCCCCCTCCCCTGTTACTACGTGCCTATGTTGAATTTTTTGGACAGAAAAAATTGAGTCGTTAGCTTCTTTAGCAGTGTTAAATTGGCTTTTCTAATTCTACATTGATTTCTTTGTATGTCCCAATATACGCCATATACCGTTTCTATAGTAAATTTAATGAATAATGATACGAAGTGGTGGGATTTTATCATACGTAAACGTGTATTAATATGTGGTAACCAAAGATAGTGCAAATATTAAAAATAGATGCTAGTTTTTCTACATGAAGTTCATGATCTTAAATTAAGAAATTCAATTGTGATTGTCTATGCAATCGGAAATTACGGATTCACCTGGATTCAAGTGTGAAATATATTTACATGTATCTGTGTATATAAAAGACGTACTGTTTACGGATATCACTAATTTTATAGCTTAATTGCAGCACACTCAGATTTTTTTCACAGGGAAAAACAAACAGCAAATGTCTAAACACTTATTTCATTGCTGACAACTTTCAAAGACGATCTGCTTTCCTTCTTAACAAAGAATAACGTGGGTTCTGTATCATCTGTTTGACTCTCTACTGTTACATGTAATCTAAAAAAAATCTGAAAAATCCAAGGATGAAGGGTAGGGGAGTCCTTAGCTTGATCACAAATCAGAAGCTGCTGAATGTCGATGATCAATGTCAGATAAATTTCAAATTTTCCTAACATGCGCATCATTGTAAGTCTTTTTTTTAAACAATATCCACTGGCTTCTAAATATATATTTCTGTAAACATGTAATTTTAACTGCATCGGCGTTGGAAGCAAATTAAAAGGGGTGGGGGTGGGGGCTAAGTGTAAGAAGAAAAATTTAGCCCCCCCCCCCCCAAAAAAAACTGACAAGCAAGAAAAAAAGGTTATGTCCATTTTCCTAAAAACACGAAAACCTATTTCGTTGGGGGGTGGGGGTTATAGGTTCGAACTTCAGTACCAAGATTTTCAAACAGCACCAGTTTCCCAATTTTAAACCTATAGAATGTGGGGGGGGGGCTAAACCTACGCAGTAATGTTCAATGCAGAAACATATTTGAAAAAAAATTATGATAAATAAACATTTGAATTTGTATGCGCTATTTCGTACTATTAAAGTGGTGCATACTATGTAGTATCTATTATTTTCTTGGATTGGTTGTGTTTTTTATTTTTTGATCTGCTATCAACTACACACTGTCAAGATTTACAGCATGTATATAATATTTATATTTCACAATTAAAGGCTATAAAATAAAGCAAAACTTGATCTGACAAATTAAATATTGAACCATACTTTAATTCTACATTTAAATGTTATCGTAAAGTTTATTCAATGTATGTATATTTTATTGTATTTTTAATGGTTGTCATGATTGTTCGGAGGTCACACTATTTATGAATAGTATTAAAGACTACATACACATTGAGGAAGACTCTTAAAGGAAATTCTAATTATACTGAGATACATACGGAAGCCCGTTGGTGCCACGTACGAAAAATATTTTATCTGGCGGCCGCCAGTGTGGTTTGGAGTGTCGGGTCCTAATAATCTCTTACAAGTTTGGTTGATTTTCACACTGTATCCACCTCTGAAATCACACATTAAAACATGCGCGCGCATCAGGTAGCCAAATATATATATGTTATCTGGCGGACGCCAGTTAAGTATATGGCGGCCACCAAATATTATGTAGCGGCCGCCAGATAAATTATGTGGCGGCCGCCAAATATTATGTAGCGGCCGCCATATAAATTATGTGGCGGCCTCCAAATATTATGTAGCGGCCGCCAGATAAATATGTGGCGGTCGCCAGATGTTATATAGCGGCCGCCAGTTAAATATTTGGCGGCCGCCAGATATTATGTAGCGACCGCCAGATAAATATATGGCGGCCGCCATATAAATTATGTGGCGATCGCCATATAAATTTTTTGGCGACCGCCATATATTAAGTGGCGGCCGCCAGATATATAAGTGGCGGCCGCCAAATAATAAGTGGCTGCCGCCACATAATTATCTGGCGGCCGCCAAATAATAATTGGCGGCCGCCAGATAAAATATTTTTCGTACGTGGCACCAACAAGCTTCCGTAGATACATGTATCAGAGATTTTTTTTTATTATTCTAGTAATAATTAGATTAATAAATATCGTGCTATTTTTGTGAATGATATTTTTGTGCTGTTATACAATGCTACATGTACAGCCGACGGACACAATACGAGTATGCAAGTGCATACGATGTACAAACAGCATAAGCGGCATCTTTAACTGCAATTTATACTTTGTTTTCAAAATATTTTATTTATATTTAGGGGTATTAATATAGTTTACTAAGTCCAGTGATGGAACTTGAAATAAAAAAAAATCTCATTCTGTGTAAATTAAGCGTCATTAGCTTCGAATCAGGAACATTGCGTCGGTAGAATATCTTTATCCGTATGCTAACTTTTGTAAAATTCATATTGATCACATGTGACAACCAACACTATTTTAATAGTGTAACGAAGATATGTAATGATGAACTCATAAGCGGAGTACAAAAGTGGTTGTTGCATGTGAAAGGGTCTAATTTCTACAAAGATTACCCATTTTTCAGCATAATTTAACGATTTTGCGCGACCATTCGATGTTTAGCGCGTATCAGTGACGTCATAGTTAAAAATTACGTCATTTTTGTACCTGTAGAATTTACTTCGCATCTTCCTTATTTCAATGCATTACATCAAACGATGATACAAAGATGATTAAAATATCGTATTATTTGCGGCGAATTATTGCTAATACCGTATTTTGTTCTTTGGAGCAATGGGGAAATGTTCAAATGTCGTCCCAACAAATCTCAAAGAGATTAAAAGCAAAGAAACAACCAATCTGCAAGGTCCTTATTAAAGAAAATTACACTGGACGTCCCAGGAAGCTGAATGATGATTTCAAAACTATTTGGAAAGAGTATGTACAGAGAATCTACAAAGTTAATGATAAAAACGCTGTACACAATGTCATAGTCACGAAGATTAACCCCGTAAATAAAGGCATAAAAAAGACATCTGAATTATATCTATCAGATTGAATAATTGAATATGCAGACATATTTACAGCAACTCCTATGGTTCCATAATGGTATGTAAATAGTAAACATAGGAACATAGAAGGAGCATAGATGAGATCAAAACTCAAATTAAATAAAATGCAGTGAAATGGAATGATGTGTTCAGTACGTGGGCCTCTCATCTGCTCATGAGGCGGGCCTTTTCTTGTATTACAGTGTACGTATCTTAAATTCAACTGACAGGTTTGTCCCTTTCGAAAATTTATTCACTCACATTGAGACGCCAAGACACCTCCGAAACACTCTTACATGTAATTTTATTATCGAATTGTTTCAAGAGTGAAGAATTCTTATTAGCTAAAGGCATAAGATTGAGGCGTCGCCGTTGTTTTTGTGAAGAACTAATTCTCTGTGATCACATCTTGGCGCCATTTTGTTTCCAACAAATGCTTGAAAATCACAGTAGAACAATGTCGGTCCTTCTCATAAAAAACTGATTTTGATGAAATTGTGTTTTATAAAACTTGGTTAACAATAAAAAAAATATTTCAATCACCTTATTTAAAAAATCTTTTCAGTCGGCGTGATTTAATTGGGTCGGTCGCGTTAGGGGAAACAAAGGTATTTTTTGTTTTGGCCTTAATTGTTCAGTTTAAAGCCGATCAGAATACAGGCAATAATTTTCATTTGAAAACACTTGGAAAAATTATTAAGTAAAATATATGCATTTTATTTCGGGAAAAGGGGGCGAGGGAACATTCTCATTTCACAAGAAACAGGGGCTAATCGAGTAGCTGTTAATGTTAACTTGAGCATTCTGAATGAAGTACTGAAAATGTGTGCAAAGATTTCAATAAAACTCTAATGACTCTATATCTAAACGAAGAAACATTTGGTCATAAACTATTTTTCGCGGTATGATATAACAAATTTCTACAACTTCTACAGATTAAAATAAAAACACTCACCTTTACCTGTGGACTAGGAGAGGCCTCGGCAGTTCCCTTTCATGTCTTTCACCTATTGTTTAACAGTGTTCAGTTTCTTTCTATAAATATTACTGCCAAGTTTGCAGGAAGCAGTCTATCGATAAAGCGTCGCTCGCCGATGGAGATGGATGGAGGCAAATATTTACAAGGTCGATTTTGAAGTTTGATAAATGTGCAGGCAAGCGCATGGACTACAGCGTGGCGCTTAACGCTAATGGAAATTATTGTCCGGTACAGTACTTATATGAAAGTCATAAACCAAAGAGTCATACCACACATTTTATGGCTATATTTAAAGGAACTGTGTCTATAGACTTCACAAACGTAAAATACTGACAATAGCCGTATTCACTAAAACGATGAGCTTGGCGAGAATAATACGTCCCATTCAGGATTTTCACATCTTTCCGGGCTTCAATTAACCGTTCGTATTGTCACCTCACAAATATCATTTTCAACCCACCTGAATTAATGTCCTAATGAGTCCCTGTATCTGTCAGGTATATACTCTGTCGTAACTCGAGATCAATGGTGTCGTCAACTGCTGAGTATGATCAGAGAGAACAAAAATGTCGCAAACCTACCTAAGAGTTAATGGAAGGTGGATGCTACATGATTGAGCAGTCAATCAATTGAATTATGGCGATGTTTCTAAGACTACCGAGTATTGGCCGTCGGTCCTCATACTTCACTACGGTGTAGATTATAAATAGGAATCTAGTTTCTCACTTGAGAGGACTTGAGCCAGACTCGCCCCGAGATGACGTCACTGTGATTCTGATATTTCTTCTCATGGTTCGAGTTTTTTCTTCATACATTTACAATGATTTCATTTTCACAAATATACAAGCAAACATGGTAGAGACGATGCTTTTGACAATAAACCAATGTTTGCATATTATAATTTTCAAAATTTACCAATTTGTTGTTTATTGAATTTAAAAATATTTACCAAATTGGTTTCTTTGTTAGATCATTTGATATATTACTACATACCATGTCAAAAACAAAATCAATATTTGCTGCTATAGGACAATTCTAAGATTACCCAGGGAGCACCATCAACTATTCCTCAGGATACTTTCCTTCATCAACCTAGTTTTAATTACATAAAAAATATTAATTATGACATTTTAATTAAGTCTTATATAATTAGGATTTATTTTCTGGTGGGGAAAGGTACTTTTTTTATTCTGATAAGATAAATCCATTTCCATTGAAGGGATCTCTAGAGCTTGTTGTCATAGTAATAGAAGCATATACATATATACTGGACATGAAATTTTGCTTTATTTCACAAAAGGTTTCTGTGGTTTAAAGTTATACAGTCAGACTCCTTATCGTGATCATGATGGAATCGGCGAATTACTTTGAGATATCGAAGTTTGAAAACTATAAATGTAGGTTATTTGGGATGTTCCCAATTTATGTCGTAATATCCCACAAATTATACTTCTATTTTGAGTACATATTAAACAAATACAAACCATTGGCAAATAAGTTGGTATTACATGATTTTCAATTTTCTCTCTCTTTCGCAAACTTTACGGTCGTTTTAATGACCTTGTCAACGAATTCAAGATTTAGTTGTCATGCATATTTTGACTGAAATTAGTTTCTCATTAATTGTTAGGTCATTGTTTTAATACCTTTTTGTTTATAAATACTGCTTTTACATAAATAATGCAGAAGGATGTGACTGGTCGAAAGGGGATGATTATTCCTCATAGGCGCCTGATCCCACTGTGGCGTCTCACAGGTCCGTGTTTTACCTTTTACGTGATTGGTCACTTCGTTATCTGTGTTACTCGGCGATGAGAGAGACAAACTATAGATGTATTATTTAGATATACTCCAACTTCCTATCTCCAACTATTCCCCCCTCTCCAATTAAATTGTTTAGTTTTTTTATGTGAAAGTTTATACAGATGTAAATCATCGAAAATACCAATAGATGGAAATGAAACAAATTAATGTTATTATTTTAAATCGGTTAATTGTCGATAGCACGACCATGCTTAAGGTTTATAAAAATGCTGAAAACAGCAGCATACTTTGTACAAATTTAAAAAAAAAGAACGATCAATAATTATTTATTATGGTGTCACCGTTATATTCATTATTCTCTACGCGTCGATTCACCAAGAGTCATCGATTCTCAGGCTCTCGTGACCATTTCAAGATATCAAACCTGAAATGCTTTCAAACACTTCTTTATGACGTTCAATGCGTTGTAACTCTATATTACTCTACGAATTTTAGATTACGATTCGTCTATAACGTGTTTAATCGTCAATTATTTTCCAGGCGCGTAGCAACAGAGGGGGGAGGGGGCATTACTTTTACTATTGAAAATTTTCATTGAAAAGCTGGTTGGCTCCCACTTTTTACTACAGTAAAGTGATATCAGGAAAATGTAGCATTGTATGCAAAAAAAAAATGGTACGGACAGAAGTTGGCATTGAAAAAAGTTGCTTCTAACCCCCATACCCCACGAAAAATAGCATTTTTTTAGTAGTAGGTAATTTTCCTTTTGTGTTTGTGTGTGTGTTTTGCTTGTCAACTTTTTCAGCTAAGTAAATAATTTTTTCCTCTTCCCGCCTCCCCCCTCCCTTCACTTTAAAAAACGATGTCACTGTTTTCAAAGTTTAATATTTCGCGAAAATGAGTCGATCTTGATATATAAGTCATGAATAAAAACACGGTGCTCTTGATCTTTTTTTACTTGATTATGAATTCAACATCACATCTGTCAAGTCATCAGAAAAATATGTAAATATAATGTATGAATTTAATTTTTGAGAATTCATGAGGTACATGAACTACAACACTTCACGCCTGCATATGTATTCATTGTGAAGCGTCATATTTAATGTCTTCACGAATTCTCAAAAAAAAAAAAGGATGATACGTGGAGTTGGCTGGGGCATTTTTCGGCCATGAAGAATATGGCCGGATTCAACATTAAAATGTTGTTTTTAAGTCTGGTAATCGAGGACACATTTCTTGTGACAAAGCGTTTTCAGAGGTACCAACATACTTGACCTTTTGTCCCTGACCTTGTAGTTTGACCCATTATACCAAGCTTTATACATTTACATGTATTTAGCCTTAACTTTGAATGATGGAATCCGATGCTAGGGCTTCAATACCTTGTAAGCTTTTCCCCTTAGAGACCAACAATTATATTCTCTAAGGCATCGAAAGCGGTGGGCCAATAGTACTGTTCCTTGAATTTGATTGTTATTTTACACATGTATTCCTAGTAACAAAAAATTACTTTGGGTCCGTTCATTAGTTTAGTTTATCTCTTGACCTTGAATCTTGACTTACATTGAAAGAATTTTAACTTTTGCCATGATTTGCCATTCGTGGCCATCGGTGTTTAACAATCACATCCATGGCACCTGATTAGTATAATTCCACTTGATGTTTTCCATTCCCAATTGAATAGGACTTAAACTAGTAATTCTCTATCCTATATATCCATCACGTAAATAACACTCTGATATTAATTCAAAGCACTTTACAGTAGAAAATAGTAATAAATGGGAGATATGTCTAAATAGACGAGTATTCCACCTATACACATCTGTTATGCATTCAAATTCATTGAATCTGAGGCTATTTAGTGATGGAATATCTTATGTCCTGTTTAGTACTCTACACATAATTGGTTTATTGTTGAAATTGTTTGTTTTCTTCGTATTTCATTTTCACTGAAGGACATTTGGTGATCTCCACCAGTGTGGAAGAACGGGATTTCCTCCCTAACCACCCCTGCAATGCTGCCGACTCTGAGTAGAATTTTTATATTTGCGGATTAATATATGCCGGGCTTATATTGTTTTTGCCCTGTCTGTATGTCTGTCTGCAAAATTTAACCTTCGCCATAACTTTTGAACCATGAACGATAGAGACTTCATATTTGGTATGCATACTCCACTAATAAGGTTCTTTTAACTAACACCAAGGCCAATGACCTTTTGAACTTGACTGTGACATATATGCTAAAAATAGCTTTTTCCTGCAAACTTTATCCTTTGCCGTAACTTTTCAACCATGAAAGATAGAGACTTCATATTTGGTATGCATACTCCACTAATAAAGTTCTTTTAACTAACACCAAGGTCAATGACCTTTTGAACTTGACTGTGACGTATATGTTAAAAATAGCTTTTTTCTTGCAAACTTTAACTTTGCCATAACTTTTGAACCATGAAAGATAGAGACTTCATATTTAATATGCCTACTCTACTAATTAAGCTCTTTCCAATAATACCAACGTCAATGACCTTGTGACCTTGACTGTGACCTATAAGCTAAAAATAGCTTTTTTGTCTTCAAACTGTAATATTCGCCAAAACTTTTGAACCACGAAAGATGGAGACTTCATATTTGGTATGCTTACTTCGCTCATTAAGTTCTTTCAAATGACACCAAGGCAAATGACCTTGTGACCTTAACTTTCACCTACATGCTAAAAATAGCTTTTTTCCACCTTAATCATAAAATTTGAATCATGAGAGATAAGGACTTCATGTTTGGTATGCATACTCCACTAATCAAGTTCTTTCAAATGATACTAAGGCCAGTGACCTTATGACCTTGACATATATGCTAGAAAGATTTTTTCGAACTTTGTTGCCGCTGGGGGCATAGTGTTTCACAAACACATCTTGTTACTTCTTTTTTCATTTCAAGCTTGCATTACTACATGTATATCTATTGATTTTGATTGGACAACACACACATATAATTATAATGAATAAATATTTCAAAAAAATAAACAATGCATGCAAAAGCATACATGTTAATAAAGGCTATGTAAAAATACTGACCCAGATATTGACTCAATTTTTAACGCTAATTTTCAAACTAAAGTTTAATATTCATTAAGAATTTTTTACATCTAATGTGAAATGTTAACTTTTTCATAGACAAATAACACGCCTGCTAATCGATCAATTGCACAACCAGCAGTTGTGTATAACAATCAAAAGAGATCGATTTCCGGTTGTGCAATTGATGCGAATAATTCCAGTACACAGGTAGTAAATGGACCCGATTCAGGCAATAATTGATATTTTTATTAAAATATAAGAATGTGATTCCATGAGCAATTTATTTTTCTTTAATTTTACACTCTCATAAAATGCAGTGATTGTCGATTAGCGACGAAAATGATTGAAAATAGTATTCGCCGACTAAAATTCGTTTTAATCTCAACTAACCTTGAAAATTCAATGTCCACCATGAGTATGCAACAAGTGCATCTTATCCACCAAAATTGGGACTTCGATATGTGTATAATTTGACAAATATTCGTAGAAAATAACATTGCTTATGCATGCGATCATTCAGTTGTGAAAGAGATCTCGGGTTATGCATGAGATGAAGGATAAAAAGTTACGATAGTATTACACAATCTCCATAATTCACTTCTTATACTATTTTATTTTTGGTAATTATAAAATTTTAAATATTGGCTATAATATGAAGACGTTGCAGTGGCAGATCCAGCAATTTTTGAAAAAAAAGGGGGGGGGGTGTCAAGGTGTCCAACACTCATGCATATAGGCA